TTGGACTATCTTACCCAACTTCTTGCTTTTAACCGTGTCCTCAACGTGCTTCTAGTAACTTCTCAAGCAGGTTTTGGAGGCAATCGTCTTCTCCTCCTACTGTAACCCACTAGCTGGTACCCAAATGTCTGTTGCTTCTGAACATAAAGGTTCTGTTAAATTAGCAAGGTTCACAAAACTGATCAAAACAAGAAATCTGGTGGATTAGGTTCATCCAGTTTAGCATTGTGAGACACATTAGCCAAATGGATGCATTTGGAAAGTCTAGACACAGACTGGAATTGAATGGCCCACTTCTATTGTCTCTTCTCAGTAACCATTTAAGATATGCACCTGTTTCAGAAAGTAGTCAATAGCCATCAGTATTCATAAGATAGCTTAATCCTCCGTGAACCTCCCCTTGTTCCCTTTCCAAACTATCCCCACTTGGTTGCCCCAAATGTAACCTTTGGCAGTAAATTTCAGGATGTAATTATTTGCAGTGTGAAAAATATTTCTTTCTACTGCTGCCAATTCTCCCTGCCTTTTGGTCCGATGGATGACCCTGACTTCACTTTGCGAGACAGCAATAAAACCCTCTCTCCAGGTGGCCTATGCCATGCGTAGTTTGGTGTAATCCTATCAGGTCACCCTTATAGACCTGCACTCAGAACGAAAGAGCCCTCATTGACGTAGTCTTTTGTTGTAAGGGAGCTACTCCAACCAGTGTGAGTTGCCTGTTTCTTGTACCTTTGCTAGCTCTAGATTCTTCTTAAGGTGTGGTGACCAGAACTGTCTGCAAGTGTGTTCTCAGGAATGTTCTTGTATTGGCAGTTGTTTTCAGTTCCACTCTTAATGATTCCAAGTATGGCACTTATCTTACAAAAATTGCACCCTGGGTTGACCTATTCATTGAGAGCCTATTAATGTAGAATGATCATTTTTTAACCTCCAGAAAATGGTCTCATCTCCCTTTGAAGACATCAGCCCATGTTCTGACCTGGAAGCTGTATCCAGAAATACTCTCTTTAGTGTCTTTCCAGAAACCCATGTTCATCAGCTTCTTTAGGTGGCCCTTATCTACTAGTAGGAGAAAAAAAAAATCCTTCTCATCTCAAAAAGAAGAGGAAATGCAATTCCTTCTCACAGTTGGAGGTCCTGAGGCAGCTCTGGCCACAGCTGAACATGGTACCTATGATTTGTCATGTGTAGAGATGGAGTTGTCCAAAGGTGCAATCCATTCAAAAGCCTATGCTGCTTGTGCAAAACATCATCTTAGTGTGCCTCTGAACCATAAATCACTTATATGAGGTGGTTCAGAATTTAAATGCTGAGTCTTGAAGGCTGAAAACCATATTGATCCCACAATTCCAGCTACCTCTTCTAGCCTACTAGCCCTCTACCTTCTAGCCCTCTCTTTCCTTAACACGAAACCCTGTTTCACTCCTTACCCAGATGTTCAGAAGGAACATGAATACGAGCTACAGTAGCATAGTGTGTCAGAGATTGGTGGATCCATTCCTACATCCCTGGCTCAGGGATCTTCCTCTGGTAGGAGACTCTAGGCAGCCAAAAGCAAGCCCTTGTTCTTCTCGTTCGAGTTTGCATTCTCAACAGGGCAATCACCATCTACAATTCTTAATTAGGTATGAGATGCCTTATCTTGTCCCAGTTATTGGCAACAGAATTCAAACCATTCACAGAGAAGCAAGATACAGCCTCTGGTCCACATGGCATCTTGTCAGTGTGATAGCGTGATCCGTCAAATCTACTGCGATGGTAATGCATGATTAGGTCTAGCATGATGGAGGTTGCCTGCTACCATTTGCACATCGAAATACATTTTGCAATTGCTTTTAGCACAGGTGCTTTCACCACGGTCCTTTTGCCTCAGCTGGCATGCACTGAGAGGCAAAAGCTAAGAGTTTGCTTTGTGAGATTCTCCGACTACGTATTTGTGTAATAATGATATTTTTAGAAAAGCTTTCTAGGACATTTCAACAAGGAACCAGGTTATGAATAGCATTATCCCAAAACTAAAAATACCAGCCTGGTGAACAGGTATCAAAAGAGTCTGTTGGTCTCTTGAGACGTGTCATTTAGGCACACATCTGACATCGGAGTCAACATCTGAAACACAGTGACCTACAAATATCCAGTGTGTTGATGGCCAAGGTTGAATTTGGAATTCCATCAATGCCATTGCACTTCATTATGCCTTTAATGCCAATCACAGATCAAAACTCTTTGGCAGTAGATGATGATTTCCTCTCTCCCTTCTTAAAGAAAGGTCAGCAAACAAAATGACCTAGAATGTATACTCCAGAAAAAGCAAAGTCCTGGGAGCACCTTACTGATCTCAGTTTGCAGAAGACAAGAAGCAATTAACCTGACATTCAATCCTCAGCACTGCAACTTCCAGAAAGATTGGCCTTCAAGTTGGGAATTACGGGAGTCAAAATATCACACATCTGGGAGGCACTGGGTTGAAGAAAGCTAAGGTACCATAACATGTCTCAAGCAACTTACTCCTTCAAAATAACGGGCCTACAATTCCCCTGTATAGTTTATCCAGGATAAGCTGGACAGCCTTGCATAAGACAAAGAGAAGAATGCAGGGTAGGCATTCAGCTTGCAGTCTTCTGCATGCCCAAGGTCTTAAAAATCAGGCTGCAAAGCTGGAGTTCATTTCATCAGGAGAGAATCATAAACTGGCTCATTTAACACACATAACTGCATCATAGGTGGTGACATCACACTGATTAAATCCGAGCCTCATCTGCTATGCCTAGACCAGTGTTTCTCAACCTTGGCAAGTTTTAAGATATGTGGACTTCAACTCCCAGAACTCCCCAGCCAGCGTGCTGGCTGGGGAATTCTAGAAATTGTAGTCCACATATCTTAAACTTGCTAAGGTTGAGGAACACTGGCCTAGACCAATATACACTGATGGACTTGCCGACGCCTTGCAGATGAATGTCATGGACCGCAGTTGGTTGTCCCACTCATGGTTTAAATAGATGCTATTTAAATTTCTCTTCTAAAACCTCATAATGTCCCGCAGACAAGAAATTTATGCATGCATGATAGGGGAAGGGTGTAAGGACTGCAATGGTTGACCAATGATTGATTAAATTAACTCATTCGAGATATTTTGACAATTTTTAATCATCCATTACTTAGAACATTGGCCACTGTCAACTCTATAGCAAACTGTGAGAAGACATTCCTTCATCCACCATCATCCAGGAGAGAGTAATTCCTTGCAAGCACTACCCAAGAGTGCTTGCTTTAAAAGAGTTTTCATTTCATTGACATTTCTTCATCCAGATCTAATTAATTCATAGGATTATGATTCATTCATAGGATTAACGGACAAGAATTTTTGAAACTGCATGTCAGTTCTGATCCTTACTTCCCCCACGTTAATGCACAATACATTTCTTAGGCTTTAAAATCTTCTACATTCTTATTTCTTCTGCTGCAGTAGACCAACGTTAATTCATTATCTGTGTTTCTTCCTACAAACATAATCTCATAAAAAACTCAGCTGTAAATTATATTAAAGATTAAATCAATCCCACCCACTAAATGTCTGCTCTGGATCTTTCATGCTCCAATCCTTTGAAATTTTTAAATCGGCTTCAAGAATATTTGGAATACAGAAATAACTAGGCTATCAAAGAAAATATTAGAAATAACTTTAGGTACTTCCAAGGTATCCTTGAATTTCTACTGACTGTTGGAAGCTGCAGAATTAGTATCTACTGCATTTCACACTGGGAGTATCTATCATGCCTATTTTGCAGTCAAAACAAAAAACATGGAATTGATTCCAATGGAAGAGAATATCTGTAGCTCATGGTTGAACTGTAGAGTCCTTAGTGGTCTCTGGGGCCTGGGTGGTGTTTTTTGTAAAATTCTCTTTTT